AAGGAAGAAGGCAGGCAGCACAGAATTACAGGGATGGCAGAGGAAGGCTAAAGCTGAGAATTCGCTGAGGTTAAGAAGGGGATCTAAAGGCAACAAAACAACCTTTCTTCAAATATGTGTATACTCAAAGGAAGAGGAAAAATAGTGGCTTAGCCACTCAGTTTGGATGGCAAAATGGTAACAGATGACAAGACAGAAGTGCTCAATTCCTACTGTACCTCTCACTGTACCTCTCACAAAAAAGGTACTATGACCTCTGAAGGCACAGGATGACAGTTGAGATTGAAAAATAAATTGTCAAGGAAAACATCAATACTCTGCATGAGTTCAAATGTTCAGGGCCTGATTACTACATGCTACAGTGATAAAGGAAATGGCAGAAGAACTGGCACAACCACCATCTATTATCTTTGAGAAATGGAGGACAGGTGAAATGCCAAATGACTAGAGGAGGACTATTGTCACTGTCTTTAGCAAAGAAGCAAAAGAGGAAACAGAGAACTCCAGCCCAGACAATCTGAGATGGATTACTGGGAAAATTCTGGCATAGAGTATAAAGCAGTCACTTTGCAAATGTGCACCTAGAAAATGATGCAGTCATTACTGTGAGCCAGCATGGATTCTTAAGAACAGATCCAATCTCACTTTTCAATTGGGTGACCTGTCTTGTGGACCATGGAAATGCTGTGAAAATAATATATCTTGACTTCATAAAGTGCCCCATGATAGCCTGACAAGCTAGCTAAAAGTGAACTAAAAGTAACAACTATCTGGTCAATCCACAGGTGACTACAGAATTGGACTTGAAGATTGTTTACCAATGGCCCCTTCTCAAACTGAGGAGAGGTAGCAAAGAGGGTACTTCAATTTTCAATCCTGGCCCCAGAGTTCTTCAGCATTTTTATTAATGGTTTCGATGAGGAGATGTAGGGAATCCTCATCAGATTTGCAGATATCACAAAACTGAATGGGAAGACAAAATCAAAATTCAAAGAGATACTGATAAGTTGGGTGCTATGCTGAAATCAAATGCCAAGTTCTGCACCTAAGAAAAAGAAACCAAATCATCATGACAAGGTGAGGAATGCTTGGCTCCACAATGCCACAAGTGAAAAGAATTGGGAATCATAGCTCACAAGCTGAACATGCCAACAATGTGATGTGGTTGTAAAAATGGCAAATGCTATTTTGTGCTGCATTCATAGAAGTATAACTCTGAAATCAATCAAGTGCTAGTTCTCCTCTAGTGAGCACTGGTTAGCCCTCATCTCAAGTGCTCCATTCAGTTCTGGCAGCAACAGTTTAAAAAAGACAAAGTGGAAAAGATTCAGAGGAAGACTACAAGGATGTTCTAGGGACTGGAAATAAAGCAGTGTGAGAACAGACTGGAAGAATTGGACAGGTTTATTTATCCTTGAAAAGACTTGGGGGAGATATGCTTGCTTAAGGAGAGTATATATTCTTAGGGAAGATAGCACTCTTCAAGTACTTAAAAGGTTGTCAGAAAACAGTTTGACAGATGAAGGTAGGATCTCTTCTTGATCATCCCAGATTTCAGAACACAGAATAATGGGCCGAAGTTACAAACTGTCAAATTCTGCCCAAACATAAAACCCCTCCTTGGAAATATGGCAGTGGAACCAATTACGAAGGGAGGTCTTGAGCTCTTCCACACCACAGGCATTCAAAGTGTGTATAGACAGCCATCTGTTAGGGTTGCTTTAATGTAGAGCATTGAGGAGGGCATTGGATCCAGTGTCCTTATTGGCCCCTTTCAACTTCATTAATTCTGTGATTTACATATGTAGTGATTTTAGAAGTTCATCCTTATTGCAATGTATGCATCTTATCACATTTTGCTTCTGTTGGAAGTTTATTTTTCATGACTGTATTGTTAGTCATCTTGAGCACGCATTGAATGGGGATAAATAACTGCTTAAATAAATAAACAACTGTAGGATGAGGATACATTATTTCAGAACAGGTTTGCAGTAGCCTTAGAACAGCTAGATTTGGCTTTTTATAATTAGACTGAGGATAGATTAAATCATTGCTCAAATCTATACAACTTATCTGAAGCTTTTAAAGCATTCCTGTTCTCAAGACAAAATAGAATTGAAAAAGAGGAGAGGGATTTTTGCAGTATAATGGATGAACTTGATATACTACCTTGAAAATAATATGCTTATGCTTGGCCTTTCAAATAAGGTTGCTGTCTCTTAAAAAATATTCCCAGGTCTCTTGTACCCAGAACCCCTTTTCATGCAAGATTTTATTATGCCTAACTTAATATGAACATGCACCTTTCCTTTCCTGGTTTTCTCCACCATTTCAATTTTTGAGCAGCCAAAATCTTTCGCACTGAATTCTTTTTGCTTGTTCAGTTACAGCATTTTGTTGCCCTGTATTGGAAGAGGGCAGCAGGGAACTTTGATTTGATTGTGCCAGGTTTCAGAAATTATCCATAGAAGTTGTTAATGTGGAGATAGTTCTTTCATTCTGACAGCTAGAACCAACTTAGTTCTTTCACTATGTGCCAAAGGAGCTGATTGTTTTATTGATGAATATGAAAAAAGTGAATAGTCCAGTGCTTTGTTCCATTCCTCTAATTTACGACACCAATAATAATGGATGATGGATGAGATATCCAAACATTAATAAATAATCTTAAAAGGTGTACTAAATCAAAGAGGAAGAGACCAAGAAATAATCTCTCATAATGTTTCAAGAAGGGTAAGCTAATTCTAGTGTCATTAATTCTACTATATGCAACAAATAAACAAAAACCCATTTAAAGAGGATGTACTGTCAATAGGATAAGAGCTGTAGCAGCATTGACACTTTTTGGATTTTACAGTAATATATGAACAGTTTTAAAACATCTCCATAAATTAAAATTTTCTGGAGCTGTATGGTATACTTCAAAAAAGGTGATTGTGAATTTGTAGAGAATTACCTTTGTTTTTTGGTTCTAGAAAAAAATCTTTTAATAGTATATGGTGGCTTTGATATGCAGATGGTTAAATTCATTATTTTAATAAAGTGAAAGTAAATGAGAAAAGTTAGGCATCTTTCCATAGAATTCTGAAATAACTTTTGAAAATATAATCATCATTCATGATCTCCTATTATTTCCTTATAATCCTACTGATTATGATGGAATGACATGTTGCATTTTCAAAGTGACTCATGTAACTCACAGGATAATCCTATACGAGTCTACTCAGAAGCTAGTCCTATTGAATTCATCATGGCTTACTTCCAGGTCATTGGCTCTAGATTACCCCCTTGTGCATTAACTCCACCCGTTGATTTCTATTTTGCTCAGTTTCACTTTATTAGGATTTGTCATAACATTAATATAGCTTCATCAGAAACCCCTGAAAAACTGCCCATTATTTTCTTTCCTAATTTATGTGGGTAAATTGAACAGTTCTAGGGTCCACTCTCTTCCATTGTGGTGGAACAGTAGGTACCACATTTTTAGCTGTTCAATACTGTACTGCTACACTGATGACATGGGTTCCATGTTAGAATGCTTCCTGGTAAAAAAATACTTCATTTCTGTGAAAAACTAGCATGTCAGAGAATTTCCAATTTACTTTTCCAGCTTATTGGTTTGACTTCATCTGCTAGACACATGTTTTACATGGGAATATTCTAACAGGGAATCCCCTATGTTGAGTCAGGACTGTGATGTTCCAAATGTCTGTTAAGGCACAATGTACCTCATGTAAAGAATATGTTGTGTTGTATGGGGCAGGTCTTTTAGGATCAACCTTTATTTTCATTAGGAAAATATTTTTCCTTATTTTCATTAGGAAAATATTTTCTTAGGAAAATAGGAATTCTTTATATCATAATAGGTGCAGACCATCCAATTAAAAGGAGAATATCATCTGTAGTTTGAGGGATATAATACTTTGGGCATCAATACAGCAAATCAAGATAAGTAAATAAATGGTGCAGTCTAATTGAGATCCTGGTAAGCCCCTGAATTTGAAAATTTACAGTCATGCTGTGCAAAGTGAGAGGAGGGGTGGAGGCAATCTCAGCCTTCCCATGTCTCCTTTTCTCCTCCTCTGCATTTTTGCTAGGTGACTGTTTTTGGCTGACTAGTTGATCACTACAGAGGGAAAGGCATGCTGGCTGGAGAGCCTCAGAATACCATGTATCCTGGCTGCTCCATTCTCTTCCCCTTTTGTCCCCACAGACTGACCCTTGTAGTACCTCTGAGGTTGGTGTTTTGCTCTTGGAGAGACAAGGAAGCAGGAGAAAGGAATTTGAGCTCTGAACCTCAACTCTCTGAGGTTGGAGCACTGTCTCTAATCTTGGAGTTTGCAAGCTGAAAAATTCTATGGTTCTCCCAGATGTTGATCAGAGGCCACAGGACCATGCATTAAGCTTGATTTGTAATGTTCTATTGTTGGCCTTTGTTGTCACAGTTGAAGAATATGGGTCGCATTATTCTAATTTTACATGGTGAATATACTCAAATAGTAGAAACGTATTATCTGATGCAGTGGATTCTGTGAAAGCTTATGTCATTATACATGTATTCATCTTTAAAGTGCCACAAGGTTCTCTGTTGTGTTTGCTGCAACAGACTAATATGGCTGCCCCTCTCAAAGTAGAAACTTAATAGCCCCTGTAGATTTTCAAGGACTATGAGCTTTAACATTGAAGATTGGATTTAGAAGTCATCCAAGCATTTTGTCCCCCTCATACTTTGTCTTCATAACTGAATGAATGCCAGTTTGCACAGATTGTATGTCAGTTTAAATACAACAAACAGGCATCAGCATGCTTGAAATCATTCCACCAAAGACTTCTAAAAACTTTAGGTAGTCGGCAAACAGTAATGGTTGTTTCACATTAAGTTGCTTTGTAGAATTATAAAACAGCTTTTCGTCTGCTTTCAAATAATATGTTATCATCTGCTAATGAATGAGATGCCATCTGTAATAATGAAGGTTACTCTACTTGTTTTTCTCCTGCAGCAAAACTTCTGACGGTTTGGAGTAGAGAAGTTAACACAGAGGACTATAGCACTGTAAGTATTATACTAAAAAGAGAATGTGAATTAAAAATGTTATGAAAAGGCTGTCTGCATATATTTGATGAAAAATTAGTTCAGTAAAGAGATTGCATGAAATATAAGGGACAAGATATACAGTAGCAGTCTTGTTAATTTACAAAGATTGTTTCGTTCTTGTGAAATTTAAAGTGTATTCTTTTTAGTATAATCAGGAATTCGCCAATATCACAGAAAAATATCTTTTCTCTAACAAAGATAGATCTACTTTATATACATTTGTTTATTTAAAGCTATCAGAATTTAGAAAATCATTATAGTTTTGTAGGGTTGTCATTTGTTTTAGTGACTTATTGTTTAGGTTATTTTGCAGAATTATTTATTTGCTGATTTATTTATGTATTTCATTATTTATTTATTTGATTATTTAGTAAATTATTTATCTGATGAATTATTAATACATCTTCATGACAAGCTTTAAATTATTTATAACTTAATTTTGATTTTATTGCTTTTCGGCGCTGCATTGTTACTGACTAGTTTTTTTTAATCCCCCTACTTGGGTCTTGAAAATTAAAGTATTAGCTTTGAGGCAAGTTTATATTCATTCCAAGACCCATAGATATATATTTTTCTGCATATGGAATTCTTTTTCTTGTAGGTACACATTTTACATAGCTCTTTGTAATGAGACTGTGTCCTTACTTACCTGTTCACACTTCTACTCAATAGCTATGTAAAGATTAATGTTTACCATTTAGAGAGAAAGCAAAAACATTTTTCTTGAATGTGTACAACTAATGTACTTTCCTATACATAGTCCTTGTGAGTTGGGTCAAAAGGAGCTTCCTTCACTGGAGGAGGGTGTTTCCTCTGATTGAGGAAGCATCTCTGGATGCCATCTTTTATTTATATAAACAGTATTGCCAGTAACTGAAGTTTCTGTTGGTTGAAGCTTCAGAATAGCTTTCAGATCATAAATGAATTTATGAATTAATTATTTTTTTTCTGAGTCAGTCCAAACTTGAGTAGGCCCTGATTTGAAAATCTCATCCTGTATGGTAAGAAGCTCTATGAACATGTACCTGTCTCACAGGTCATTCTAAAGGTACCTTCATGTCAGACTATAGCATTGTTCCAAGTGTAGATCCTTTTAGCTCTGTGAAATCCTCTCTTGAACCTCTAATATGTCCTGCATTGGTGATGTATAGCATTTTATTTGCTTAAATTGCTTATATGGTGCTTTTCAGGGCAAAGCTCTCCCAAGGCAGTTTACAAAAGATAATTAAAAATAAGAGCACCATTTTAAAAGTACAAATAAAACAGTCTAATTACAAAACTGAAACCAGCAGTAGTTTAAAGCAGTTTAAAACTAAACTTACAATCCTCTTAAGTGAAAGACAGACATATTTAATGTCTGTTTAAGAATTAACAAAGATGGGATCGTGCACTTCTTTTAGGAAACAGTTCCAAAGACATAGGACCACAACTGAAAAGTCCCTGTCTCTTAGCAGCTGTCAGTCTGATAGATCTTTGCAGTACATCTGTGTAGAGATAATCTTGAAGCCTGACTAGGTTTATATGAATATAAATGGACTTTCAGGCAATATGGTCTGAAACTGTTGGAAGCTTTGGGTGCAATTCTATGCATGTTTAGTCAGAAAAATATTCTAGAACTCGCAGCATTCCCAGCCAGCAGATTGCTAGAACTTTTTTCTGTGTATCAGTATCAGCACTTTATATTGAGTTTGGAAACAAATAGTCAATATAGTTAGCAGGGTATTGGGTAATGTGCTTGGTGTGTCTGATCCTTAGAGACATCCTAGTAGCTGCATAATATACCAATCCAAGGTTCTGAACAGTGCTTAAAGTCAGCCCTGCACAGATGCTATAACAGTGGTCTAGTCTGGATTAAACAGGGCATTTATAATTGAAGCATGGTCTGCTTTCACTAGATAGTGTAGCAGCTGATGTGTCTCCCCAAGCTCTAAAATGGCACTTTCACCCAGCAAGTCCCCTTGTGGACTTATAAAGTCAAGTCCAGGAGAACCCCCAATTGTGAACTTGGTCTTCAGTGCTTTGTTTTGTTTTCGTGGGTTTCCAAACTATTTATTAATTTATTACATTTATATGCTGCACCCTTGGCTGAAGGTCTCTCTGGCAGGCTTAGAACAGCAATAAAATACCATTTAAAAATACAACTCAATTAAGACAATAGGAAAATGAAGCAGTAGAAAAAAAAATTAATTATAGGCAGTCAAATAGTAATAAAAATAATTTAAAAGAAGATGGATTTGCATAGTCTAAAAACTCGAAAAATCAAGAAACCATTATTAATAACCAAATTAGTCACCAAAACACCTATGGAATAAAATGTTTTCATTTGGCGATAGAAAGAAACAAGTGATGATGCCTGGTGGATTTCTTTAGGAACTGAATTCCAAAGGTGGAGTAGGTCTTTCTCTTGACACCTCCCCTCTCTCTTTTTAGGGGTTGGAACTCAGAAAAGGGCCTCTGATGAGGATTTTAGTGATTAGGCAGGTGGAGTTAGACATTCCCTCCAATATCCTGGTGGCAAGCCCTTTAGGACTTTGAATGTTAAAGTCAGCACTTTGAATTGGGCCCAGACAGCAAACGGCAGCCAATGTAGCCTGCAAAGTACTGCTGTGATATGTTCATGAAGCCCAGTCCTCGACAGTAGCTGTACAACCCTGTTCTGAGTTAGTTGCAAGGACCAGATCATTTTCAAAAGCAGCCCCATGTACAGTTCATTACAGTAATCCAGGTACAAGGTTACCATTGTATGGATGACTCTAACAAGGCTCCACACATCCAAGGACATATGCAGCTGAAAAAAAAAAAAAGCGCTCCTCGCTACCAAGTCTACCTGAGACGTAAGTGACAACGTGGGAGGGGTATTCCCAGGCTGCAAACCTTAATCTTTGGGGGGGGGGGTGCAACCCCATCCAAGACAGGTTGAAAATTTCTCAGTTGGACTGATGGACTGCCTACTAACAGCACCTCTGTCTTGTTTGGCTTGATTTTCAACTTGTTGGCCCATATCCAGTCCATTAGCAAGCCCAGGCTCTGGTTAAGACCAGTTAGTGACTCACCTGGATTAGATGAAAACAAGAGATAGAGCTGCATATCATCAGAATATTGATGGCACTTCAGCCAAAATGCCCAGATGACTTCTCCCAGCAGTTAGATGTAGATATTGAAAAGCACAGGGGACAAAATAGAGCTTTATGGAACTCCATGGCACAAAGGCCATGGTGCAGAGTAGTAGCCCTCAAGCACCATCATCTGGAGATGGTCAGACATGTAGGAATGGAATCACTGCAAAGTGGTGCTCCCTACATCAATCCAGTCAACTTCTCCAGAAGGATACCATGGTACTGAAAGCTGCCGATAGGTAGAGAAGAATCAACAGGATCACACTTCCCATCTTTCTTCCAAAAGAGGTAATTCCACAGGGTAACCAAGGTGGTTTTTGTTCCAAAATCAGGCCTGAAGTTCAATTGAAATGGATCTAGATAATCTGTTTTCTGCAAGGGTGCTTGGAGCTGTTTGGCTGCTCAGCTACAACCCTCTTGATCACCTTGTCCGGGAAAGAAATATTGGCTATGGGTCTATATTTGTTTACATCGGATGGGTCCAGGTTAGCTTTTTTCAGGAGTGATGCAATCACAGCTGCCTTTAAGGGCTGTGATTGCACCTCTTAAAGAGGTGTTGACAGCCTTCTGGACCCAGGCATGAGTCCCCTCTTTAGATTTCCCAGTCAGCTGAAATGGGCAAGAGTCAAGTGACCAGGTCCTGGGTTGGACAAGACCAAACACGGTGTCCACATCCTCAGGCCTTGATAGCTGAAACTCATCCAGTAAGATGGGACCAGATGGTACACTTGACACCTCTGCCAATGGAGCTGAAATAACTCTGGTGTCCAATTCATTACACATCCAAGTGACTTTATCCTCTCAATTGTCATGCAAATTCATCACAGCCAGCTTCCGAGGGTTCAGTCCTGTCTCCTGTTGGGCCAGAATGTAAAAGGCCCCGAACCATATGGAAAAATTCTGCTGCATGACACTGTGAGAATGTCATGCTAGTGGCAATAAAGTGCCTCCTTGCCACCTTCACTGCCACGGAATAGGCTTGATAGTGAGTTCCTAACTGTGTTTGTGTTGAGTTCTCCACCACCTGAGCTCTACCCATCTTTCCACTTGCTTTATCCCCCTCAGTTCAGGCATATACCTTGAGAGACCAATTCAGGGTTTCCTTAGTTTCTCTTGAGAGGTAGAATATCTGCATACTTTTGACATTTTAGCCCAAAGTTCCAGATGACTTTCTCCAGTCCTGTCATGCATATATTTGGGAGATAAAATGGAACCTTAAGGCACCCAAACACCAATAGCCATGAGGTGGAACCGAGGCTCTCAAAATTGCTTTATGAGTCCATCTCTCTAGAAAGGACTGGCACATCTGTAACACCGTATTTCCATAAAGTACCCTAACTACCATGCACTTTTTATTTTCAGGCAAGTCTTGCTGTTGCAGCCAGACTTAAGGATGTAGAAATCTTTTGTGCAAATAGAGAGTCTTGGCTGGACTACACAATGCTTTTAGCACCTGTATCTAGCCCTCTGGAGTACTAGGTACATAGCGTTCCCTCACTAGTATAACATATCCATGCTAAGTGCATATGTATCCAGCAGCCTATTGTGTGCAGTCATACTCCCCATATTTCTGAGAAGGACATCCAATTGCTGGCCTTAATGCACATGTTGTTGCTTCTTAGCTTGTCACAGAGGGTCTTCTCAGAGCCAGGAGCTCAAAGAAGAAAGATATATAATATGTGATCAAACACGGTATTGCTGGGATGCAGTGTCAAGAGAAGTAGCAGCAGGTGTACAGATTGCACTGGTAGATAATAATACTCAGGTATGATAGAAAATGGAAGGAAAAATAAAGGATAATAAAAGAGAAAAAATTGAGACTAAAAGCAGTGTGTCCCAGAG